TCTGAGATTCTGAGATTCTGAGATTCTGAGATTCTGAGATTCTGAGATACTGAGATTCTGAGATACTGAGATTCTGAGATTCTGAGATTCTGAGATTCTGAGATTCTGAGATTCTGAGATTCTGAGATTCTGAGATTCTGAGATTCTGAGATTCTGAGATACTGAGATTCTGAGATTCTGAGATTCTGAGATTCTGAGATTCTGAGATTCTGAGATTCTGAGATTCTGAGATTCTGAGATTCTGAGATTCTGAGATTCTGAGATTCTGAGATTCTGAGATTCTGAGATTCTGAGATTCTGAGATTCTGAGATTCTGAGATTCTGAGATTCTGAGATTCTGAAATTCTGAAATTCTGAGATTCTGAGATTCTGGGATTCTGAAGTTCTGGGATTCTGAAGTTCTGGGATTCTGAAGTTCTGGGATTCTGAAGTTCTGAGATTTTGAGATTCATAATAGATTCCATTTTTTCACATATTCATAGATTTCTAGATTCCTAGATTCCTAAATTCTGAGATTCCCATATGTTTTCACAGTTTTCTTCTCCAAAAAAATCAATAAAATCTCTGTCGCCTCTCTGCCAAAAGTGCACCTATAGCAGTGCTCAAGACAGTTTCTCCATAGGATTTCCTGAGATATTTGCTCAGCAAATCCCAAATAGAAAAAGAGAAAGAGATTGAGACATAGAAAGAGCACTTGAAAACTTTGGGAATCGAAAAATGAGAGAAGAAGTAAGACGAAAAAAATAGGGGGTGATGGTGATGATGAAACCGACCGTTTTTGAGGGGGAGGATTTGAAAGAGAAAGAGAGAGAGAGAGAGAGAGAGAGAAGGGTGGAACGGAGGTTCACGAAACTACTTGGCGCTTTTCGATATTATCACTGGCACTTTCTCTTCTTTTTTACTTTTCTAAAGTATTAAAATTTTGTTAATTTTTATCGAAATCAAAAAAAATTGTTTCGAGACCTCTGAATAGGATTTTTAGGAGCTTCGAATATCTATTTTTGCCCGCATATCTTTTTCTGTTTGGTATCGTTTTTTTAAATGAGCTTTACTATTCAAAAATGATTATGTGCCTTTTTTAAAATTCTCTTGACTTCTTGAATACTTGCGTTATTTTAAAAATTATTTTTCTTTTTTTTCTGGGTCTTATGGAATTTCAGTAGTGGAAAGTTCTTGGGTCTCAAGGCATCGAAGCTAAGAACCCATACATCTTGAAACCTGTATTAGAAGGGCCCCTTTAATGGAAGGGCCCTCCGAAAGAACCTTGGAATAATAGAGGGCTGGCCTTTCTAATACAGGTTTTACCGTAAATTAGGACCCGTGAAAGAGCCCAAATATTACAAATATCCTTCATTTGTGATTTCAGGACCTCAATAGGTCCCTCATTTTTCTAGGGCCCATAAAATACCGCTAAACTGATTCAGAGCCAAAAATTCTTCTTTGATCTCCCTCACCATTTCCCATTTTATAGAGCATCTCATCCTTCCAAATGTCACATTACTACTAAACCACCTTCTCCTAGCTCCCCAGCTCCTCTAAAACTACTTTTTGTTGCTCCACCAGAGCCCCTCGTCGTTACAGTAGTCTTTTGTTCACCCGTTCCCACAGATGTGAAAAATCAAGAGAGATAGGAAAAAGCTTCTCCCAAGCATCATCCCAGAGCTTGTTGCAATATCTTCCCGGCCTCTCCTTGAGACAATTCTGCCCCGAAATTGTGCTAATTGGTGAGAAACGCAGGGTTCCGAAAGCAATGAAGCAATGAGAGTTCAGAGAGAAAAAAGTGATCGGGATGGGGAAGAAAAAAGGTGTGCGGGGGAAGAGAGGAAGATCAACAGGGGCTCTCTCTCTCTCTCTCTCTCTCTCTCTCTCTCTCTCTCTCTCTCTCTCTCTCTCTCTCTCTTTCTCTTTCTATTTCTATTTCTCTTTCTCGGACACCTTGATCCTGAATCAGAAGAGACGCCGAGATGAAATTTTTGTTTGTTGGCCCTCAATCTTCTGGTCCCGATGCCATCTTGTCAATTGGCAGGATCCATGACGAAGAAAGAGAAGAAGAAGATTTCCTACTTTCACACCTTTTGATTCTTTTTTTTTCCTACCTAGCTTCCCCTTATCCCCCTTCTAGATCTGAGAAATTGATGGATCAGGCTCCCTCCTAAGCTCCGCCCACTCTACCAGACGTTCTTATATCCATCATTACTTCTTATCACCCCCAACTAGCCCGGTGCTGGTAAACAAAAACATTTTGGCACTATTTTTTCTGATTGAGGATTCTGGGTTCTTTTTGCACCCGGATTCCGTGAATTGGAGATTCGAGAATTCTGCGATTCCCAGGATCTTATAATCCTAGATTCCCAGATTTCTAGATTTTTAGGTTCCTGGGTTCTGAGATTCTGAAAATTTGATGTGGAACTTCAAACTCCCTTTATTTTTGAATTTAAAGTTTTGAAAATTCCAGAATCTCTAAATTCCCGAATTTCTTGAATTTAGAATTTTCTAAAAATTCAGAAAATTCCAATTTCGTGGAAAATGTGATTTTTCAAACAATTTAAACCCATGGTTTTTTTTCCAATTCCAAAATTTCCGAAAAGTTGCGCTATAGATGTTCGGTTTGCTTATCGATTTGCAAGATTTTCCCATTGTCTTTTTGATGATTTTTTTTCTTTTCTCTTCCGATCCACATCTCAATATTTGCTCTCGGCCATCATCATCACACAATTAGGAGATATGATCAGACATCTTATCTTTTTTTGCATAAGATTTTCATGTATGCATGCTTCAAATAGTGTTCCAATGATTAGCATTTTTCACTCCTTGATTCCCGAGGATTTTGAACATTTCCCCTGATTTTTGTAATAGGAGATTACCGTAAACACTGTAATAGAAAGTCGCCCGAACCGTCAACAGTGAGCTTGTATATCTTGGTTCCTGTAAAAGATATCAAAAAGTGGTCATGTAGCATATTTTTTCATGTAGCATATTTTTGATGCAGCATATTTCTGATATTATGATGAACATTTGATTAGCTAACTGTTTTTAGATATCATTCACAAGAACCAAGATAAATTGGCTCAAAGTTGAGAGTTAGGTGGTTCACTCTATTAGAGTGGTTACAGTAATTTCTCCAATAATGTATTTCTAGTACTTCAAATAATTTCAAGATATCTTTGATATTTTTTCAGGTCGAAAGTTCAGCGCGCATCGAGGTCTACCCCTTGAACGTGCCGGACGAACGACGAAAGGAAAATCAACTCCGCGAGCAGCAAGAGGTAAGCAAATCATTTTTCAACATTTTCAACGGAAAATAGTCAATTTCGACGTTCTGGGAATGTATTCCAGAACCTGTCAATTTCTCTGAAAATTACATAGTCTACTGAACAAATCCACAGTTTTAATTGAGAACTCTGTGTTTCGCCAAATTCCACGAATCGGAAATTTCTAGACTGTTTTTTCACAGCTTCAAGGTTGAATCTTTTTCATTAAAAACCGTCGCAATACGATATCTTTTTGTTAGGTACTGTACAGACAAATAATATAGAACTTCATATTTTATTGGTTTATTATTAAATTTGCTATTCAGTTCTAACTTTTCCTTTTAAAAAAAACTCTCGCTAAGTGTTTATGTGTTCTCATCAGGCTCATTCGCCATATTGTCTCTACATAATAGTAAGCCTGCCTTCCCTTTTGAGCTAATTGATATTAAGACAAAAATTTTATTCGTTGATAACTTTCTGATATCTTTCACAGAAATCGCACTTGGGTCCAAGTCAACGGGTCAAAAAACGCGCCCCAAATAACTTTTAGGTCAGAAGAAATTTAATAATTTCAAAGTTGACGTGGATTTGACCTAATTAATTTTAATCAACGAGTTGCAACGCGTGATTTTTTCGCCCAACGTTTAAAAGTTTGAGTTTCTCAGCCACATAATTCAGAAGCGAATTTTTTAAATGAAATCTCACGTTTACTGTGGCCCGATTTCTGGCCCGTTGGCTTGAACCCAAGTGAAATCGAGATAAATTGGCTTCAAAAAGGCGCATTGCTTTCACGTTACTTGTTTTGTCTTCCTGGTCAAAACTACCAAAAAATGTCATAAAATCTCCATTCCTCCAATTCCACTGGCAAATTTGCACCTCCTCCTGAGATCATCATCTTTTCGTAACATTACACATCTCCTCCCATGGCACACATTGTTATCCAATTGGCCGATCGGCAATGGATCCCAGTGTGTGTCTGTGCAACAAAAAACCTTTTGGCAGTTGTTTTGTCTATCGCGGATGCTCTCGGGAGCGCCAAGATATCGGATGACGTGGTCAGAGGATGGGAAAACAGGAAGGAAAGGTTGGGAACAAAATTTTGAACCTAGAATGAGGAACAACAAGTGAAGGGATAAGCAATTTCTGAAAATCTGGAATTCGGAATCTCTAGGTTTTTAGAATCAAACTTCAGAATCTCCATAATTTGAGACTTTTCAAGTACCGAGTTCAGAATTCTAGAATTCGTCGATTCCGGAATTCTGAAATTCTAAAATTCTGAAATTCTGAGATTCTCAAATACTGAAATTCTGAAATCCTGAGATTTTGATGTTCTAAACCTTTGAGATTCTGAGGTTCTAAGATTCTGAACCTCTAAAATCTTGGTGTTCAGTTTTGGGCAATCTGTGTAATCGGAATCCTTTAATTTAAGAATTTCACAAATCCGAAAATTGCCAATTAGCAAAGTTCTGAGATTTCAAGAATTTCAAAATCCCAGATTGCTTGATTCTGATTTTTTGGATTTGGATTTCTCAAATAGCGACTTTTTAGTTATTTTATTTGTCTATAATTTCATTTGCGTAATTTCAGAAATTCAAAGATTTCGAAATTCGAAAATTCAAAAAAGCAGGATTCCACAAAATGCAGATGATCCTGGGATAATTAAATTCAGAAACATGGAAAATCCAGAAAATTCAGAAAACCAGAAAATCAGAAACTCGGAAACCTTCCGTTTTCCTAATTTTCATGACTTCAATTTTCAAAAAAAATGCACGATCGGAAACATTTCGGCAAAATTTAATCTTTAAGAAAATAGAATTTTCACAAATTCCCACATTTTCTGGTTCCTGACCCTCTAAAAATTAACTCACCACTTCCTTATGAACTTCTCACCGAAATATATATCAATCACCATTTAGCTAAACGATGTGGCTCCTCACAGATTTTTGAGCTCCGAGAGAGCACTCGTTCGGGGGTCCACCCACCCCCGCAACCCCAATGACTTCGCACTTCACACAAAATGACAACAAAAAAAAAGAACTGGCTCTAAACATTGTGAAATAATTCGCCCCGCCAACTAATTTTTTGCAGCGTGATCGCCAACAACAGGCGCTCGTCGAGGCGGGTCTCGCACAACAGAGACAGCGCGACGCCGAGCAACGACGCATCCGTGACGAGCAGGATCGTCTTCGTGTGCTTTTCGAACGCGAAAAAGCGGAACGCGAGCGATTGGAAGAGGAGCGTCGGCAGTTGGAGCACGAGAAGCGATTGCGGCAGCAGCAGGTAGCCTATACTTGAACTTTGAGCTTAATTATCTCAACTTCTAAATGAGATATAGAAAATATATCAACTGATAATTTGTTTGTCACAATATCGCCTACATTTTATCAATTGACAAAAATTCGATATCCCTTTTAGAAAAAAATTAGTAAGTGAACAAACTTCATCAATAAGTTATGTTTCCAGCAGCAAGAGCTTTTCGAACGCGAAAAGGCAGAAAAGGAGGAGAGAGCTCGTTTTGAAGAGGAACGTCATCGGTTGGAGCACGAGAAGCGGTTAAGGCAACAGCAGCAAACTCAGCCTTACCATCTTCAGTATCCACAACACCACCACCAGCAGCACCAACCACACCAAGCTTGGCAAGATTTCGAGCTAGTCCATCGACCTCAATACGCTTCTGACGAGTATCAAGAACCACATTACGCGCAGATCAGACCACACCAGCAGCAGCAACAACATCGTCAAGAAGTATCCCATCAGAATCTCTACGAACAACACCGTAGACAGCAGCAGTTGAATAGAGTAGGGCGTTGAGAGTGGTTCTGTGGATTTTTGAAAGTTTTTAGGAGCAGCAAATCTATCAACAGCAACACCATCACCATCAGCAGCAGCAACAGGAACATCAAACACCGTTCCATCACTTCAACCAATATCAGCAGCATCTCAGAGACCATCATCAAAACACAATGCCAGTATTCAGACAGCAGCAACCTACCCAAGTTACTGTGAGTTTGACCAGGGAATTAGACTATGAAATCCGTTAAGTCGAAGAGCCCCAGAAGGTCTAAAAAGCATTCTTCAGGGTCAAGTTATTTCTGTTTCCTAAACCATTGCTATTTCCAGAACGGCGGACCAAAAGCAGCAAATGGTTTCGCAAAAACTGCCAACGGGTCAGCAGCAAACGGTTCAGCAAAGAATGGATCCGCCATCCACGCAGCAAACGGTGGCGGACCATCCCAATCAGCACGCGGGCACGAACACGGAGCAGCACTCGTCAACGCCCGACCACCACAATTCCTCGTCCATCCACAATCCGTCGCAGCAAAGGCTTTCGAGACAGTAACATTCAGCGCGAAAGTCGTCGGAACACCAACACCCCAGCTGACGTGGCAGAAGTCAGATGGGACCGTTATCCAGTCGGGTGGCAAGTACAAAATCGAGACGGGTCCGGATGGCAGCGGACGGCTCATCATCGAGAAAGTGGATGCTCACGACGCCGACATGTACATGTTGGTAGCTAGAAATGAGGGAGGATCGTTCCAGAGCAGGTTCTCATTGAACGTTCTCCGTAAGTTTATATTTTCATCTCTGAAATGGTTTGCCAAGTTCGCTCTATTGGAAAAAAACATGTAAAAGTTTGAAAGAGGATTCCAAAATAATATTTTTCAGAAGCCAAGTCGCCGGAAGCGCCAGAATTCACTGGCAAATTCCAGTCGACGACACTTTACGACGGGGACTCGGTGAAGCTCTACTGCAAGGCAGCCGGAGAGGGTGTGAGCTTCAGGTGGTTCAAGGACAACGAACCGATCTCATCAGGTGGCAGTTATAAGTGAGTTCTCGAGAATACTTGGGCTGTTTTCCATTTTCTAATTGTTTTCAGCGTTGACTCAAAGGGCAACGAAACCACCCTTCACATCAACAACGCCACCCTCAAAGAAGGAGGATGGTATCGGTGCGACGCCACCAACAAACACGGAACAACAACTCTCAAAGGACGAGTCGTCGTGAATTCCCGCCAAAAGTTCACAGGCCCAGCCCATCGAGAAATGATCACTCTTCGCAAAGTTGACAAGGTGGAAAGATCCAGAACACCAGTTAACCAACTGCAAGATGTCGCAGCATCAAAGTCAGCGCCAAAGTTTGAAGGATCTCTACAATCCCAACAACTGATCGAAGGTCAATCTGCGAGACTGGAAATCAAATACACGCCAGTCGATGATCCGAATTTGAGAATTGCTTGGCTCCTAAACGGAAAGGCTATCTTGGCATCGTCCCGTATTGCGACTCTCACTGACTTTGGAATTGCTGCTCTGGAAATCAATCCAGTTACAGTATTCGATCAAGGAGAGTATACCATTGTGGCTGTGAACCCACTTGGAGAGGCTAGAGTCGCCGCAAACATCGCCGTTGTTGGACATGGAAACTTCATTCAGCAGGGACAATCCGGCACTCAATTCGGAGGAACCACCTATCAATCCAAGGGAGCTCAGGCACCAGCTGGAGTGCAATTGGATTTGCCAAACTTCCATTCTGACTTGAGATCTCAGGAGATCTTTGAAGGACAGCCGATTCATCTGGAGACCAAGTTGACACCAATCAATGATAAGAGCTTGAAGGTAACTTGGTTGTTGAATGGCAAGGAATTGCCAAACAATGACAAATACCGCCAAGCCTTGTCGCACGGATTCGCCACCTTGGACATCCCACAAACCTCGAAAGACGATAGCGGTTACTACTCCTGCCGCGCTTCCAACCAACTTGGAGACGCTGAAAACCAAGCCACCATCATTGTCCACCCCAAAGTCGAGCTTCATCAATTTGAGCAAAACAGTCAATTGGATGTCGATGATGTCAGAGAGATTCAGTTCGCTCACTCACAGGAGGACCAAACCCCCAAGTTCATTTCGCAATTAAAACCATTTCATTGTGAGCAGGAACTTGGAAGATCCATCTTCGAGGCTAGAATCCAACCAATCAATGATCCATCTCTCCGAGTTTCTTGGCTCAAGGACGGGCAGCCACTTCCAAACGCCAACAGAATTCAAATCTTCCAAAACTTTGGTGTCGTTTCCCTCTCCCTTCATCCAACGTATCCAGAAGACGCCGGTGTCTACACTTGCGTTCTTTTTAATTCTCATGGTCAAGCTCAATCATCCGCTGAGCTCACCACCGTCTGGATCGACACTCTTCAATTTGACACCAAGCATGCTGATAGTCTCCCGATTATCGGATACCTTGACAGCCACCAAATTCATATCGGACCTCAGACTGTTGACCGTCCAGAAGAATTCAACTCTCTGGAAGCCCCCAAATTCGCCAGAGAGCTTACCGGAAAGATCGAGGTCATGGAGAACGAACCAGTTCATTTCGAGGCTAGAATCCAACCAGCGAATGATGTCAAGATGACTGTCGAATGGTACCATAACGGAAGTCCTCTACCAGCCGCCCATCGCTTCCGTCCAATGTTTGACTTTGGATACGTGGCGTTGGACCTTCTCTACGCCTACCCACAAGACTCTGGAACCTATACACTGGTTGCAAGAAACGAATTGGGAGAGGCTAGAAGCAATGTGGAATTGGTTGTGGGTACTGAGAAGGTGCTTTATTTGGAACCACATCATCCAGAAGGATTGGAGAGAATTAAGGTGAGCAATAACACAAAAACTGATGATCAAAATTGAGATTCAAATAACTTGAGAGTAATACATTATGAATTATACACAAACATTATAATCACATCCGGTCGGGCAGCATTTCTTGCCCTTACAGTCTTGGTCAGTGGTACACCAACTGATTGGAGTGTAGACCATGCATTTGTAGCCAAGTTGTGTTGGCGTTGGGCAGGTACCGGGCATCGGGTGACAACAGCGTTGGGTGGAAAAGTCCAAGCAAACCTTGAAGAATACTAATTAGTGGTTATGATTATTCAAGCTCAGCTTTTCACTCCCTTCAAACTCAAAGCTCTTGATACGTTCAAAAAGCGGAATTTTCAACTAGTCCTAGTTCATAGCCTATAGACAGAGTCTTCGATGAATAAGCCCAAGTAAGATACCTGAGTTCAAAACAAGCATTTTTGAAATACTCCACAAAATCAAATAGGACTCAATCTTCCTAGATGGACCTTTCTATTATATATGTTAAATTTTGAACCGGGTTATGGCTTCGCCCTCCGACTTCACGAGCTTGTAACTCGGTACCTAGAATAGTTAGAAAAATTTTGCTAACTATACAAATTTTGTAAATTTCCTGCTTTACGTTTTAGCAATTGATCATTTTCCCCTAGCCCTTTTAGTTTAGAAATAACTCACCGTTCCCGATGGACACTTTGCTGACTTGACACACGATGCAGTTAGGAATTTGAGACGACATACTGGGAGGCCTACTAAAAATTCGAAACTATTTTACAGAAAAGTTTCCATAACAACTCACTTTCAAACGATTCCTTTTGCTTATTTTGCTCATAGTCATCCATCAAAATTTCATCGGTTTGACACTCCTCACGATAGACACCCAAGATTTTCCAATACTCGCATAGTGGAATAGTTTTTGGTTTTTGCGGCGCGGCCACCGGGGCGTAATATCTTGGCTCATCGGTGAATGGAAGATTCAGATGCGGGATGCGGTACTGCGAAAGACGCGGCTGATTTTGAGATTGATAACACGTGATAGCGGTTATCAGAGAGCAGAAGAGCAATAGGAAGGGATGCATAGTGTAACAAATGACCCATTTTGGTGGGAAAGAGAGGGGCAGAAGGGGATTATAAGTGGGTCAATAAAACTTGGAGGAAAGGAGCGGCTTGTTTATTTAGGTATATACTTTGCGCACCTTATAAGGTTATATATTGTTTTTGTTGATTGGGTGGCAAATGCGCGGAAATTTGGGTTTACTGATAAGAAGGGAAGGACCAACAGACACACAAACAGATCGTTCCAGGAACTCGAACAAGACCGTCGTCAAGGAATCGCTGAAGTCGAGGACCGCACCTGCGATGCCGCTCCGAAGTTTCTCAACGACATCCAAGATATTGAGCTCCACGAACACGAGAACATCCACGTCGATCTTCGTGTGACGCCAGTCAACGACCCAACCATGGTCATCGAATGGTTTGTCAATGGGCGCCCGTTGCTTACCGGAAGTCGTGTCAAGACTCTGAACGAGTTCGGATTCATTGCTTTGGACATCAAGGGAGCGATTGCAGAAGACTCTGGAACCTATTCGGTCAGAGCTAGCAACATGCTCGGAGAGGCCATCCGCCAGTGTCAAATTACTGTAATTCGTAAGTGGTTTTGTTGGAATATTTGAATATTCATTTGAAAATGTTATAGCTGCCGGCCAAATCATGTCCGACACTCAACATCAAGAATCTTTGGGAAAAATCAACTACCTCGAAAATCTCAACAAGTATGGGAGAGTCGAAGTCGAGGATAAGGGACCAGATGGACCACCAAACTTTGTTGTACCACTTCAAGCAGATTTGGGAGATGTAAGTTTTTCTGAAGTTGAGAGTCTCAAAAACAAACAAATTCCAGATCGAGGAAGGAGAGCCAATCCATTTGGAGTGCCAGGTTAACCCAATCAACGATAACACTCTGAAAATCGTTTGGCTCCGCGACGGACAACCAATTCCACACGGACACCGATTCCGAACATTCTATGATTTCGGATTTGTGTCTTTAGATATTCTTGGATTCTATGCTCAAGACGCTGGAACATATACTTGTCGTGCTGAGAACTCTCTCGGACAAGCTGAGACTCAAACGACTATTCGATGTGCACGTAAGTTGAGGATTTTGAACTTGTACGCCAGTTATTGGAGGTACCAGCTGAGCTCAGCCATGAACGGAGTAAAAATTATGTTACCCTAGAACCACCCACGCGACGCTCATTATGAAATGCTCATTGGAGCACACCAGGAGCCTCCCTGTCCTCCCGTAAAACTATGTTGAACTTTAAGCTTATTTGATTCCTGCCGCCCGCCGAAAAGTGCGTAACCCAATGCCTTCCTTCTTTTTTCTTCTTCACCGAATTTCCATTCGCACACTGTTTTCTCTCCATCACTACTATTATTATTCGTTGGCTCCCAGATGAGCTCCAATAACAGCTCTAATAACAGATACGTGTTTGGTGTCAATTATGGCCCTAAGCCTACAGTACCCTCATCATCTAGTAGTCTTAGTGGCATGGGTCATGTATTGAAAGCGCAGCAGCCGGCAAAAGCGAAAAAATCGAATGGAATGGGTTTATTGAACTTGTCGAATTCAGCGAAAGACGCCATTCTTGGAGCCGTACAACATCCACGAAGCTATGCGAGAATCCAGGAGATCGAGGCTCCAAAACCACCACCACAAGAGGTTCCAGACCTTCCACAGCAGGTGAGCGTTTGGAAATTCAAATTGTATTAAAAGTATTGTAAAATGGGTCCCCAACATTGACCAAATTTATCGATTTTTCAAATTTTTTAACGAGGAAATCAAAATTATAATTATAATTAAATAATTGCCCAATTTTTTCAGCCACCTGCATTCGTCAAACAACTCGGACCAGCCATTCAGTGTATGGAGGGAGATAATGTTTATCTTGAGGCCCAAGTTACACCAACCGACGATAATACTTTGACAGTATGTTTGAACTTTTTTGAATTGTTCATTTTTAAGTTTTTCTAAGTTTTTAATTTTTCTCGGGACCTTTTTTGAATTCTGGGAATTTCGCCCTGTATTTTTGCAAAAAAATATTCAAATTTCCCGCATTTTTTCTAATTGGGTGTGGTCAACAACTTTCGAGGTTAAACAAAAGGGTGAATAGGGAAACACGAAACATAGCAAGAAAAAAGCAAATATTGGTTTTGAGATGACTCTCGGAATCTTCTTTTTCTTCTTACTCTTTGGCAACTTGATCAGAATTTTTTAACTAATTAGTTTTTCATGATTGAGAATTTTTGTGAAAATTGAAATTCTAGTTTTTAAGTTAAGAAGTGTCAGCGATGAGTTTAAAGGTTTTCAATTCGTCAGAAATTTTTAGAACATCTTGAATGGCGAATTTTTTAAAAATCACTCGAAAATTGCAAAACTTTTCGATATTTAATAATCCTATTAATTGAAAAAAAAAATTCTACAGTACCTGACAAAATTATACTGATAAATAGTATTTTCAGTAATAAATACATAGTAATAAATAATTGAAAAATCGGACCCATTAGCTTCGAGCTCATTTATCTCGTTCCCTATGAAAGATATCAAAAACGTGTCAACTGATAGAATGTTTGTGCTACTATGATAAACAATTTACCAGTTTATAACTTTTTTAAATCTTCGACAGGAACCGTGAATAATGGACTTAAAGTTGAAAGCTAAAAGGTCCTTATTTAACAAGTTTACGTTGCCCTACTTTGACCTACAACTTTGACCCACTTTCCAGTGTTAAGTGCTTTTTTCTCTATCACTGAAAGAATCATTTTTGTTTTTTATCACCAAAGATTAGATACTAATCCTAATTGTTTCCAGTACGAATGGCTTGTCAATGGTCAGCCATTGATGAAGGCTCATCGATTCGTGCTCTCACAAGACTTTGGCTACATTGCCCTCAACATTCTCTACTGCTATCCAGAGGACAATGGTACCTACACTCTCGTGGTCAGAAACCGAGCTGGAGAAGCACAATCGTCAGTCGACATCAATTGCGGACACACTGGAGGCAACGTGAGTTTTCAAATTTCTTTAGTGGGCATTTGTGATTTTCTCGGTTTCAGTTCACCGACTCATTTCATCCAAACTCGCTCGGAAGAATCGCCGAGCTCGAGGCTCCAATTCAACGTGCCGAACCACTGCCGGACAAGGAGAAGGAGTTGCCGAAGATTGTCAAAACGCTTCCACCAACCATTGACTCGGTCCATGAGTCGCAGACTTTGCATTTGGAAGCTCAAGTCACACCGATTGATGATAACACCTTGAGAGTGAGTTTTTTTTCCAGAAGCTCTGTAAATGTCTAAAAATCAGAATAATTTTCAACGTGATTCAATTTTCAGTACGAATGGCTTTTCAACGGAAACCCACTCAAGGCCTCCAGCAGATATCGTGTGCTCAACGATTTCGGATTCGTCTCCCTTGACATTGACTATATCATTGCTGAGGACAGCGGAAAGTACACGTTGGCCGTCTATAACGCCGCTGGTCGCGCTGAAACATCTTGCGAATTCAAGGTCGATCGTCTCAAATCCATCCTTTCGGACACCGCGCATCCAGAATCTCTTCGCCGTATTCGTGAGATGGAACAACTTCAACCAGCTAAGCCATCCGATGATGATGGACCAGCTCAACCACCAGTGTTCACTCAAGCACTCACCGGACCGACTGAACCTCTCAAGGAAGGACAATCGGTTCATATGGATTGTGTGGTGCAGCCAATCAATGATCCAAGTCTCAAGATTGAATGGTTCCATGATGGAAGACCACTCATGTTTGGATCCCGTATCCGCACGATTCATGACTTTGGATATGTTGGCCTTGAATTCCTTCACGTCCATCCAGAAGACACTGGAACGTACACCTGCAAGGCGACCAATCTCATCGGAGAAGCTACAACCGATATCTTCCTCGAGTGCAAATCCCGTCGCAACATCTACCTTGATACTCATCACGAATCTTCTTGGGTCAAGATCCAGGAAATCGAGAATCGTGTCGATGAGCGTGAGCCAACACCAGAGCTCACCTTCCAACCACCAACGTTCACTGAGAACTTGGCCGATAAGGATGACGCTCAAGAGGGACAGGCGATTCGTTTGGAGTGCCGCTTGATTCCAGTCAACGATCCAACCATGCGAGTCACTTGGACCAGAAATGGAGATCCACTTCCAGAAGCATCAAGATTCATGCCAGCAAGAAACTTCGACTACGTCAATCTCGACATCTTGGCTTTGTATGGAGAGGACTCTGGTGTCTACACCTGCAAGGCTGTCTCTGCATTTGGAGAGGCTGCCACGTCATGTAACGTCAAGTGCGCCGCCACCAAGTCTCTTCTTTTGGACACCATGCACGATGCCTCGTGGCAGAGAGTTCAAGAGATTGAGAACCGTCCAAAAATGGAAGCCGTCGATGATGAGCCAGAGAAGAGTGCTCCGAAGTTTGTGACACAGTTGAACAATTCACTTGGAGAGCTTCAAGAGGGAGTTCCAATCCATTTGGAGTGCCAAGTGGAGCCAACCAACGACAGTCAGTTGACAGTGCAATGGTACCACAATGGACAGCCACTTGCCAATGGACATCGCTTCCGTACTCGTCACGATTTCGGATACGTTGCCCTTGACATCCTCTATGCCTTTGCTCAGGACACCGGAGAATGGGCATGTGTTGCTAGAAACGCTCTCGGAGAAGCCCAGACTGTCGCCAACTTCACTGTGTTGCCACGTGGAACCATCTACACCGATTCTCAACATCCAGAGAGTTGGCAGAAGATCCAGGTGCTCGAGGCTCCAAAGGCTGCAGCACCAGAACAACCAGACGCCGAGCATGACGCTCCACAGTTCATTGAACCACTTGAGAGTCTGGAGAGAATTGAATTCCAACCAGCTCACTTCCAAACGAAGGTCACTCCACAAACCGATCCAAACCTCAGAATTCAATGGTTCAAGGATGGCCAGCCACTCAGAAATTCTAACCGATTCAAGCTGACGACTGATTTTGGATACATCTCGTTGGATATTGCTCACACTATCCCAGAAGACAGTGGAGTCTACTCTGTCAAGGCCAGCAACGCTAAGGGAGAGGCTGAGGTTCAAGCTCAACTCACCGTTAGTGGAAATGCTTCGATTCTCGGAAACACTCAACATGAGCAATCGTGGCAGAAGATCCAACTCATCGAGGCACCAAGAGCTCCGGGAGAAGAAGCACCGGATGTCAAGCATGGACCACCAAAGTTTGTCACTCAACTCCACAGTTTGGACGGAGTCGTTGAAGGTCAACCATCTCATTTCGAGGCTCAATTCATTCCATTCTCGGATCCAAGAACATCGGTCCAATGGTATCTCAACGGACAGCCATTGTCTGCTTCTTCCCGCAGAATCCTTCGCAACGACTTCGGATTGGTCTCTCTCGATCTTCAATACACTCTTGGAGAGGATGCCGGAGAGTACTCTGTGGTTGTTAAGAATTCTGAAGGAGAAGATCGCACAAATGGATCTCTTTCATGCACCACCAGAGCTGCCATTCTTGGAGACACTCAACACGCACAGTCCTGGCAGAGAATCCAGGAGATCGAAGCTCCAAGAGCACCAGGCGCCGAACCAGAAGGACCAGTCTACGACAAGCCATCGTTCATCCAACCACTTCAATCTGTTGGCGATCTTCCAGAAGGATCTGTTGCCCTTCTTGAAGCTCGTTTGGTTCCAGTCAATGATCCAAACCTTCGTGTGCAATGGTTCTTCAATGATCAACCACTTATGGAGTCGAACTGGATTTCAACCAGCAATGACTTCGGGTGTGTCTCATTGAGAATCGCTCCTGTCTATGCTAGACACACTGGAGTGTACTCTTGCAAAGCATGGAATGAGAGTGGAAACGCTGTCACTTCTGCCAATGTGGGAGTTCAAGGATCCGAAGGTCTTCTTCTGGATACTTCCCATCCAGTGTCCCTCCAAAAGATTCAAGAGCTCGAAGCAATTGACAAGTACGCACGTCTTGATGCTCCAGAGAGAGAATTCGACAAACCACAATGGGTTCAAGGATTCGAGAACTACGAGAATGTCGGAGAGGGACAAACTGTTACTCTTCATGGACTTGTCGAGCCATCTGGAGACCCAACTCTTCAAATCGAATGGCTTCTCAACGGAACCCCACTCAGAAATGCCAACCGTTTCCGCCAAGAGCTCGAATTCGGAAATGCCATTCTCACCATTGTCCATGTTCTCCCACATGACTCTGGAGTCTACACCTGCCGTGCTTGGAACATCCATGGAGAAGCTTCCACCTCAGCCACTGTCACCACCGCTGGATATGAGAAGATTCTCTATGACTCTCAGCATCCAGTCTCCTGGGAAAGAATTCAAGAGCTCGAGGCACCAAAGATTGTCGAGGAGATCGAGGAGGTCATCCAGAAGGAGAAACCAAATTTCATTACTCAACTCGAGTCCGCTGAGAATGTTCCAGAAGGAGTTCCACTTCATTTGGAGGCTACATTCCAACCAGCCAGAGACTCTGAGCTCAAGGCTGTCTGGCAAAAGAACGGACAACCACTTGGAGCATCTCAATTGGTTCAAACCAAACACGAACTCGGATGGGCCACCTTGGACATCTCATCTGTCAATGAAGATCACAATGGAGTCTACACTCTTACTATCTCCAACAGCGAAGGAGAAGCGGTGTCTACTGCTTCGATTCGTGTCGCCGGAACTGGGCCAATTCTCGGAGACACTCGTCATGAGGAGTCTTGGAAGAGAATCCAGATTCTGGAAGCTCCAAAAGAGGCGGAACCAGACGCACCAGCTCCAGTCTATGACCATCCAGCCATCAACACCCAGATCGAGGACAAGGAGTGCAATGAAGGAGATCATGTCCACTTCGAGGCGCTTATCACACCAGTCAACGATCCACGACTTCAAGTTCAATGGATCCGCAACGGAGTTCCACTTGCTCACGGATCGAAGTACGCCATTCAACAAGACTTTGGAATCTGCACGCTCGATATTGCCTACACCTACCCAGAGGATGAGGGAATCTATCAACTCCGTATCTGGAATCCAGAAGGAGAAGCTGTGTCATCTGCAACTCTCAAATGTCACGGAAAAGACGCAATTCTTGGAGACGTTCAACACCAAGAAAGTTGGAAGAGAATCCAAGAGATTGAGGCTCCAAAGCCAAAGCTCGAGGAAGCCGATCCAGAACCAAAGGGACCCCCACGCTTCATTCAACAACTCTCCAGTCCCGGAGATTTGGTTGAGACTCAACCAGCTCACTTCGAAGCTACTGTTGAGCCAGTGGATGATCCAACACTTACCATTAGTTGGTTCCTGAATGGACAACCAATGTCTGCTTCTTCTCGAGTCAAGATGATCAATGACTTTGGATGGGTGATTATGGATATCGCTCAAACTGAGCCAAGAGATTCTGGAGAGTGGAAGTGTGTGGCTAAGAATGCCGCTGGAGAAGCCTCATCTACAGCCACCATCAATGTTCAAGGAAAGGAAGTCATCCTCCAAGATTCTCTTCAACCACAATCCTTGGATCGTATTCGACAGATCGAGGCTGGAAAGCCTGCCCCAACAGAGCGTCCAGATCAAGAATTCGAAGCTCCAGTCATCGTCAATGCCCTTCAAGTTCAAGGAGCTTTGGAAGAAGGAGGAAGTGCTCACCTTCAAACTCAATTCACTCCAGTCGCCGATCCATCCATCAAGGTCGAATGGCTCAAGGACGGACAACCAATCTTCCATTCCAACCGATACAAGATGGTTCACGATTTCGGATTCGCTGTTTTGGATATATTACATCTTTTGAAGCACGACGCCGGTGAGTACACCTTCCGTGTGACCAACCGCAACGGAGATGCTTCCACATCCACCAGCTTCCAAGTTGCCGAGAGCTCCGGACTCATTCTTCAACCACAGAACGAGCAGAAGGCTAGAGCTGTCGAGACATTGGAGGAGAATCTTAGAAGACGTCCAGAGGAGGTGGAGCAAGAACTCAAGGAGGCAACTCCAGTGTTCATCGAGCCGCTTTCGGCACCAGTGGAAACTGAGGAAGGGGGACGTGCTCATTTTACTGCTCGCTATGAGCCAGTGAATGATAACCAACTCCAAGTGCAATGGTACCATGATGGAAGACCACTCAAGAATGGAAGTCGTATCAAGACAATCAACAGCTTCGGATACGTCGTTCTTGAGATCAGCCCAACTTACCCAGAAGACAACGGAGAGTACACTTGCCGTGCTGTCAACCGAGTCGGAGAAGCTGTCACATCCACCAAACTCACTTGTTCACCAAAGGAAGGAATCATCAGTGCCACCCAACTTCCAGAGCGTATGGCGAATGCTGGAAGAAGAATCGCAGAGATTGAAGCACCAAGACCAGCTGTTCCAGATGCACCGGACGCTGATCACGGACCACCAAAGTTCACTTCAGCTCTTGCTGGACCACCAGAGCTTCAAGAAGGACAACAAGCTCATTTGGAGTGCCAGGTCACCCCAGTAGCGGATCCAAGATTGAAGATCGAGTGGTTCCATGATGGTCAACCAGTGAAACATACCAACCGAATGAAGGTGATTCACGATTTCGGATTCGTTGTCCTGCAACTCACGCCAGCAGAGCCACAAGACTCGGGAACTTGGACTTGCCGTGCAACCAATCAACACGGTTCCGACGAGGTGTCCACTGAAATCAAGGTCGTCGGTGGTGGAGGTGTCTCGTACGAATGGCAGAGCCCTGCACAGCGCAAGGAGCGCATCACCGAGTTGGAAGACTGGATTCATAGACCAAAGGAGGATCTCAACCTTCCTCCTGTGGACTATCCAGCACCCACTTTCTCTCAAGACCTCACCGATCTCGGACAACTCAACGAGGCTGACGCCACTGCGTTCGTTTGTGTCTTGGAGCCAATTGGAGATCCAACTCTTAGAGTTCAATGGGAGCATAACGGTCATCCTATCCCGTATTCTAACCGAATCTCTTGCACCAACGAGTTCGGAGTTGCCACTCTTCTCATCAAACATCTCATTGCCGCCGACGCTGGAGAGTACAAGTGTGTCGCCACCAATGCCAAGGGATCTGCCACTTCCACCGGGCACGTTGCAGTTGAATCCGCCACCCAGATCGATGCTCCACAAGTCGTTCAACAACTTGTGGACAGTGTTGAGAACATTCTTGAAGGCGATTCCATCCACCTTGAATGCCGTGTCACTCCAATCAACGACCCACGTCTTCGTGTCGAATGGCTCAGAAATGGAGCTCCACTTCCAGAAGCTTCCCGATTCAAACCAACGTTTGAGTTTGGATTCGTCAGCTTGGATATTCTCTACGCTTATCCTGAAGACAATGGAGATTACGAGTTGGTTGTTATCAATGATAAGGGAGAGGCGAGATCAAAGACGAAGCTCACCGTGCTTCCAAGACCATCCCTGGACTACACCTCCCAAACCCATGGAAACCAACAAGACTCCTTGGAATCTCACTTCAAGCAACACTCGCAAACGAAACTCCAACTCACCGCCAACGACATCTACAATGAGAGTGACAAGCGCGCTCCAGAATTCCGCACCCAACTCCAGAACATCGGAGTCTTGGAAGGAGAGTTCTGTCGCTTCGAAACTCAAGTCGCCCCAATCAACGACCCATACCTCAAGGTCGAATGGTTCAAGGATAAGAAGCCAGTGCTCCTCGGACACCGTTTCAGATCTACTCTCGATTTTGGATTCGCTTGTTTGGATCTCCTCTACGCTCTTCCGGATGACACTGGAGAGTACCATTGCGTTGCCACCAACCGTCACGGTCAGACCATGATTAGTGCCAAATTGGCATGCCAAGGAGCTTCCCACGTCATCACTGACAGTCAGATGCCTCAAGGATTAAGAGTGAGCAATGTGAAAAAGGACAACAAGAACATCTACTGGAGCGAGCAAGGAGGACCTGCTCAGCCGAAGCAGAAGCAAGCGCCACAATTCACGATCCCACTCAGAAATCTCCAGGTTACCGAGAATCAACCAGCAAGATTTGAGTGCGCTGTCACTGGATATCCGAGACCAAAGGTCACCTGGTACATCAACAAGAATCAGTGTCTCCATGGCCACCGCTTCAAGCTCAACTTCGACGGACTCCACTATCTCACTGTCAGCAAGTCCAGAATTTCCGATGCCGGAGAAGTCGTGGCTATCGCTAGAAACACCGAGGGAGAAAGAATCTCTACTGCCACTTTGGACATCTTTCAGAACGATGACTTCAGACAAGCCAAGCTCCGCCCAGCCAACTTCAAAACATCCGAAGAGCTCAGAGAGCGTGAGTTGCAATGGCAACGTGACACTCTTGGATCTCTTGGACCAGCCTTCGAAGCCGCACCAAAACCAGATGCTCAGAAGCTTATGCATGTGGAGAGAGCACAGAGCCCAATCGAGCCACTCGAATCTCAAGAGCTCATTCAGAAGTTTACTCGCCCACGCGACGATCAATTCTACAACAAGTTGTCGTACGTCGAACTTCAGAAGCCACAATTCAAGGGAATGGAGTTGGAGGCGGTAAACTTGAAGGCTGGAAAGGTGGAGAAGTACCAACCACCAGTCGAGGAGATGGAACGAGTCAACCTCAAAGCAGTTCCAGACAAGGAGCAGAAGGAAGTCGGATGGGAGCGGCCAGATTGGGCTGGACAGGAAGGAGGCTCCAAGTTGCCAGGAGCAGATGAGGGACGCTTCAAGAAGCTTCCAACGCCACCACCAGAGTTGGACGTTCCAGCTAGAGATCAAGTGAAACTGAAGACCGCAAAGCCAACGAGAGGCAAGGATTTGGAAGCTGGAGAACGTGTGAAGTTGCAGACGGAGAAAGCAAAGATCAAGGAGATTCAACAGAAGCCAGAGCAACCCAAAGAGGAGCCAATTGTGCATAAGGATACTGTACAATTGAAGGTGAGCTGAAAGTAGTCGACGTGTTTTTAAATGGATATTGGAAATGCTTTGAAAATTGGGTCGAGGTTAATTCGAACTTTCTTAAAAAGATCTGAAGCCGTCATCGTAAAACTTTGACCAGTAACAGTTCTCAGGATCTTCAAATTGACCTTGACACTTTTTGAATTCCAATACCCTTTTTTTGGTCCGCTCACAAGAGGGTCGTATGCACCACATCACCACAGTCCTATCCCCCAATTCATCCTTCACAAATGCATCGTGCCCATCCCGTTTCAGACCCAACAACTTCCAAAAACCGGACTCAAGGGTGACCACTTCACTGTGGATCGTGAGAAGGATCTCAAGGAGACGCCAGCTGTGGTGAAGCCAGTTATCGAGGAGACCCGAATCAGCAACAAGGTATGTGTGCAACTAATCAGTTCTTCTTTGCCCTTTTTAATACTAATTGAATGATTGTTGTGTGTCTTGTCTTAGAGTTTGAATGATTCTTGCAGAGTATTTCTAAAAGCTCGTCTTCTTCTTACCAAGCAACCAATTTTGAACTACCTCGCATCGAAACCACCGACACTTCTGAATACGAGTCTTCATTCACGTCGAACCAAGGAAGAATCACCTACCAGGCCTATCGAGAGCACAAGGAATCGTCGTCTTCCGATGTTTGTGTTATTTTTTTTTCTTCTGTCTTTTGTATGACTTTCTGATTTCTTGTTCAGGTTTATCTTTCCGTGGAGACTGCAGACGAGTCGTTCTCCCAAGTTCAGCGACTTGAGTATAGCCCTAGAAGCCCACGAAGGGAGAGAGTGATTGGATTTCATATGATCAGGGTTGGCATGTTTTTTCATGAATGGAGTTTTGAATGTTTTTTGAATGGTTTTGAATGAAAAATACTAGACCTCTATGTGTATAGATACCTTCCTTATATCAATCCTTCCAGCCACAACCAACAAAGATTGGACAATCCAAACAAGCGCCACCAACCATTTCCCAACAGCTGAAGCCACTTCAGGGTGAACTCGGAAAGGCTGCCAAGTTTGTCATTGAGTTCGCCGGAGCTGCTCCAGTCAAGGTGACTTGGCTCAAGGATGGAAAGGAGATCAAGAGCACGTTCAGATCACAGGTGAGATTTCACAGTAGATGGTTCACTCGCAAAACGCAATATTCCAGATCAATACCACCCCAACCAGCTCCAGTCTCCATATCGGTCGTCTCGAAAACTCTCACTCTGGCGAATACACCGTCCGACTTGAGAACGCCGCCGGAACCGTCGAATCTCTTGCCAACCTTACCGTCGCACCACCATCTGCCACTGGAAAGGCCCCAGACTTCAGCGCCCGTCTCAACGACCTCCGCATCCAACAGAATGGGCCAGCCGAGTTCTCTTGCCAGATCGGAGGAGAACCAAAACCAACGATTCAATGGTTCAAGGATGGACAACCACTTCCGAATGACGATCGCTTCCAGGTTGTTGAGGAAGGAGGAGCCTACAAGCTCAAGTTCGCTAGCATCCTTCCAACTGATGCAGGTATCTATGAGATTGTGGCGAAGAACGGAGCAGGAGAGGCGAGATGCAAGGCCCGACTCAACGTGAATCTCCAGAAGACCGGAAAGGGTGCGGAAGAGGGACCACGCTACGAGGCGCCAAGATTCACATCACAAATTCAACCAATTGTTGTTGACGAAGGAAAGGGTGCTCAGTTCAGTGCCAAATTCTCCGGATTCCCAGAACCAACGATCCGGTGGTACAGGAACAATGAGCCAGTCAAACATTCCGATGGTTATGAGATTTCGCAATCCAAGGGAGAGGCGATTCTCAGGATATCTGGAACTAAGAATGAAGACGTTGCCGAGTACAAGGTGGAAGCCAGTAATCCAGCTGGAAAGGCATCGTCAGTGGCGAATCTTGTATTGACTCGTAAGCCTTCCTCATTTGTTAAAGAAACCTTTTAAAACATTTTGATTTTCAGCACGATCCGGAAGAATCGCCAAGTCAACCATCTCACGTGGTGGATCTGCCGCTTATCAGTCGACTGATAAGGCCGCCGCAGACGCTCCACACTTTGTTGCCAAGCTTTCGGATATCTCTGCTCGTCAGGGACATACCGTGAAGTTTAGCGCCGAAGTTGATGGAAATCCAGAGCCAAGTGTCATCTGGCAGTTCAAGGGAAAACCTATCACTGCATCGAATAATGTTAAGGTAAGCTAGAAAGAGCGTGCGGCGGGTGAGAGAGCGCAGAGAAACAAGACACTCCAGTTTCTCTGCGTCTCTCTACTCTACGTTCTTGAGATTCAGCTATCAAACTTTTACAGCTATCAAACAGTTGTAAACTGAAAAATGTGTATAATTTTATTCTCAACATTTTTGTAAAGTTCATTTTTACCAAATTATAAACGCACTTATATTGGCTCTTTTTGAACAGAAAGAATTCCAATTTTTTTTTCAGATCTCTCGTGAAGGCAAACGTGCAATCCTCGAGTTGGCCCGTGTCACACCGGACAGCGCCGGCGAGTACCAAATCGTCATTCGAAACGACAAGGGAGCCGCCACGTCGCAAGCCAAGCTCACACTCAGTGCGTAGAAACGTTCCAGAACGACAACCTGCTGAAACCTTGCTGAAAAAAATCTGAAAACTCTAGACAAAAAATGCGCATGGCATCTATTTTTGAGCAAAACTTTATCCACTTCTATTTGAATGAATATTCCAACCTCATGATGGCATGAACCAAATTTTCTCTATCAAAAAATTTTCTCCGCTTGAATAAACCCCAGTCAGCCAGCTTGTCATTCTAATTTGCCTCATTTCTTCCCTCCTAACCCCACCTTCCCTTGGCAATAATTCCTCCGTTTTCAGGTCGCTAAACATGCCACGTCATCATCATTATCGAAAAAATCAACCAATCAAAAAATCGATACCATGGAAACGAGTAGTTTTTTAAAAATTCTTTAATAAGTGCCTTTCTTTTTCAATTTACTTTATTTCTGTTCTTCATTTTGATCCATTAAATTGTTTTGAATTGCCACCCCCGCTTAATTTCTCTGATTTAAAAACAAAAACGCTTTACATGTAGTAGTACCCTAGCTTACTAGTGCCTCCTCTTTTTAATTAATTTTGAAAATTTTTGGTTTGAAAAAAATTTCTTCAATAAGAATCCGAATTTTTCGATAGATTGCTGCCCTATTGAAAATTCGCCTGACTTTGAAAATTCTAAGAAATTGCTGCCTTTTAGGATTTTCTCTATGTATTGAGATTTTTTTTGGAAATTCTAGAAAACTCACTGCTGCCCCCGTTTTCTGGTTTTTTCTCTTTCATCCAATTTTTTTCCTTTTAAGAACACATTTTTGTATATAAGGCTTTGGTACTTTTTTTTCATGATATCTACTTCTAGTCAGCTTCAAAACTGCCCAAACCCCTGTCTTTTTTTTTGGTAATTTCTCTTTAATTTTATTTTTTGTGCTCAACGGATGAAAATGAATGTTACACTTTTTCGGAATTTTGAATAAACTTTTTTGAGCTTTAAAATTTTTTAATTTTTCAGAAATTTAAGGATAGTTTGAAACGCTGAAATTTCAAAAAATATGTTTAAAAGCAGAGGTGGAATACATAAAATTCCAGAAAAATATAATTTTTAGAAAATCTCGAAAAATGTATTTCTCCAGAAAAAAAAATCAAAGTCTGATAATACTTGGGATTTGATTCGTAGAACTAGATTTCAGATCGATTCCAAAAATCAAGAAAAATCGATTTCTGAGTGCTGGCAGACAAAGGATCACAGCAAGTGGATCGAAAAGTGAAAACGTGGAAACAGCAACAGAAGCGACCCAGTTGAAATGGCTGGAAATTTGATAATGTTAAGAATTTCAGAAATTCGGAAATTCAGAAAATTAGCAGGAATTCTGAAATTTGGAATATATGAACTTCTGAGGTTCTGAGATCCCTAAAATTCTAGATCACTAAAGACCTAGATCCCTAGATTACAAGATGTCTACATGTTTAAATTGTGAGATTCCTAGGTTCTCAGATTCTGAATATCTCAAATTTTTAGATTCCTAGCTTTCTAGTTTTCTAGATTGCCAGATGTCTAGATGCCTAGATTATGAGATCCTGAAGACTTGAAATTTGTAAATTCTTCTTAATTTTGGAAGTTCTTAATTCTGGAAGTTCGGAAATTTGGAAAAACGGTAGTTCCAAAATTCAGAAATTTGTGATTTCAAAAGAAGACGGAAACTATAAAATTATATTTAAAAGTTTGAAGCGTCATGAAAATTCAGAAAAATTGTATGTTCTAGAAATTTCGATAATTTCAAATTTTCACCTCATAAAATCCACTCGAAACGCCGAACTGTACAGGGATACTGTACAAGGTGTAAAGCTGACACAAACCGGAATCGCAGTTTGTATAAAAAGGGCCCAAAAAAGACGTCGTTGAATTTGAAGGGTTTTATTGCTCATTGTGGAGAGGCCCTTGTTCAACCGGGACATTATTTTGTATCCCAAAATAAAGTATAAATTTATGGAATATGACGCGAGGAGAGTTTCACAAATAGTTCCAATCCAGGACCGATATACAAGGTCGTCGGAGACTTCCTGGAGTTTTAAAACATCTTTTTTTTGAAAGGTTTTTTTCACTCACCGAGAAAACCACCATTTTGATATTGACATCTTCAATATGAACGTTGTAATATTGCTCAAACTCAATTTTTACATAGTCTCTTAATTCTGGATCTGAGGTCATTAATGTGTCATTTACAATCATCCAAAGGGTCCAATGAATAAGAACCCAGTATACTGAAAGAATAAGACCATAAGGGTTGAAAAACTCTAAAATTATATAATTGTATCGAAGAGACATGAATCGATAAAGGAAATGAGCATTGAGGATTCCATAGGTTCCGGAGATGAACGCACAACGGGCAGCAACGAGGAAGTCGCCAATGCGAGATCTCTAGAATTTTAGAATCTATTAACCGGTGAATCAACGTATCCGAATTCCCTGATTTCAGAAACTCGAAATTATCAGTTAGAAGCAAGATGCTCTTTTGGACAAGAGTCTGGCAAATTATGGGCAAGTTGCCCGAGTAGAAAAAAAAACATACCTCTTCGAATGGTCCATCTGTTAGAAAGACTACTGTAGCGTAGCGGTATGTGTAAACGCACTGAAATTCGCTTTTGTTCTTATACATACATAGAGGTGAATGCCAACCGTGAGCTCAATTATCTCGGTCGCTATATGAGATAACATAAATTTGTCAACTGATAAAGTGTTTTTTATAATATCACAAACATTTTTTCTGTTTACAGATTTTTGATGTCTCTTACAGTAATTGAGATAATTGAGCTCAATTGTCGATTAACTCACAATCGGAGCGACTACATCCACTACCGATGACAACATGTTAAAAATTGCGAAAAAATAAAGAAGAAATCGATAATTGCCAAACGGGAAAGTGCTTTCCGTAGAGATAAGATACACAAAAAGGGGATTAGCGATGAAGGAAAGGATGAAAAAGATTTTGGGAATCAGAAAGTGCGCCCAGTTGATGAACATTCTGGAAAAAATGAAGTTTTTAGCAAACATGTTTCAAGCTTAATGTTTCACGGTTCTTGTGAAAGATAACAAAGGGTTTATCAGTGATAAAGTGTTTTTAAAGGAGACCAGACACCAAAAAAAAGCTTTCCTGATATTTTGCATAGAGAACCCCCATGAGGGGTTGAACTCATGACAGGCAGCAGGGGTACAGCGCTGCTACCGGCTGAGCTACGGGGGCGCGAAGGCGCCTGACGACGGATGGTCTACATAAGCGCGGCGCGATTTCGTCCCCCGAACTGTACCCCGAAATTTTTGCTGTCTCGCCTCCTTTAAATTATGGTATTCAAACGATTTTGAGTTCAACACTTTTGGTGTCTTTCAAAGAAATTGATATGAAATACCGAATATGCCGTTTGTAATCGAAAAAGTACCGAAAACGCAAAAATGAGCACTTAATTGGGAGTTGTGCTACTTTAAAATCTTTTATCTTTGTTTTCTTGGATTTGAACAGAAAAATTGTCGATTACAAAAATGAAAATCTATTTTTGTGAAGCATACTCCAAATTTTTCAGACAAATCGAAAAGCTTCGAATTGCTTTTTCAAGGGATCTAGTTTGACTATTTTCCACTTAAAATTAAACACAAAGACATATTTCTGTCCGGTACGGTAAAGATGTACATGAAATCACGATGTATGAAAATATAGAAAATATATTCTATGATTCTGAGAAATCAACAAAAAAACATGTCACATGTAGCGCTTGTCTAGCCACCATATTTCAGACAAAAGATCCCAGGAGAGAAATGATGCTTGCTTGTAATTGATAACAAACATAAAACACATTTATTTAGTCATAACTCTCTCTGAGCTACAGGGACCGCCCAAGAGATCCGAAACGGAAAACAGTGACGAAAGCATCAGGAAACACCCCTAGAAACACTATGAACTTGGTTAGAAGAGTTTGAATCCAAGTGAATATTTATTTTGGCAAATAATCTACGACGTAGGGCTGGTAGACACACGATTATAGCCAACGGATCCAGAAAGGGAAATGTGGAGACAGTGATGGAAGCCGTGATGTTGGAAAAGCTGGAAAATTGAAAACAGGACGTTTCCGAACCGAAGCCTATGGTTGCCATACCTCCCGAAATCAATCCGAAACGCTGATCCATACAAAGCCAAGGCGCATGGCATGAAGCTGACAAAAATCGGAATTGCGGTTTGAATAGATAACGCCCAAAACAAGCGCTTTTGCATTTGAATCGTTTTGGGGCTCATGTAACTGACTCCATCGGTCAAATACGACATGATCTGCAATCGCGATTTATTGACATACTAGGGATAGAAAAATTGGGTAATAAATGAGTTTGGTCCGGTATCCATTGGACTAATATCGATACGAAATTGGCCGCCTACTAGGGTAATGTTGGTCTTCTATGTATTTGACCGTGTGGGAGCCGCTATTGAACCGATACTTTACCGCTATCGGCAAGCTATTGGCTCACTATTGGCCCGCCGTTGGCCCGCTTTTGGCACGCTATTGAGCTGCTCTCACCCACCTTGCACCAAAGCGCAAAATACAAAACGATGGAATAAGAAGACACCACGGTTGCGAAAATATTTCCAAACCATGAGCGGTACATAACGTTTGGGGAGACTTCCTGAAATAACTTTTTTTCATTTTTTGAGTTTCTGCCAGTTCTTTGATGTTAACTCACCGAAAACACAGCAACCAAAATATTCAAATTTGTCATATTGGCGTTAAAAAAGTCTTCAAAAGATTGTCTCACATATTCCCTTGACTCTTCAACGGAACCCATTGCAAAATCTGTGGCGACTGCCCACATGACCCAGTGTAAAATCACTAGAAAGACTGCAGAAACTAAGCCCCATGGTTTGAAATAGTGGTTCACAAATTTGTCATATTTCAGAGATAGGAATCGATAAATGAAGTGAGCGTTCAGGATCCCATAGGTTCCGGAGATGAATGCACAACGGCACGCAACGAGGATTTCACTAATTCTGGATCTCTGAAAAACAAGTTGGTCAATATTTGGATTACTGTAACTCACCTCAGCGAATGGACCATCCACTGTGAACACCATTGTAGCATAGCGATGGGTGTGGACGCACTAGAAATCGATAATCGAGTTATTCATTGATCTTTGTGTTTTTCTCCTACAAGCACTCACAACTGGTACCAAAGTGTCGGCTAATGATGCAGTCATGTTGAAAACAGCAAAAAAGTACAAAAGATATTTGTAACTTCCGAGATGAAATGATTTCTCGGTATGAATGAGGTGCACAAATATTGGGTTGGCCAGGTAGGAAAGGATGAAGAAAATTTTGGGGATTAGAAAATGAGCCAAGTTGATGAACATTTTTGGGGGATCTGGAAAAGTGGAAATTTCGAGGAATTATGCTACTTGTGCACATCAAAACAGAAAAAAGTGGAATTAACATGTCAGAATGAATGGGATAAAAATTGAAGGGGATAAAAGCGAGGAGGAATGAATGGGAAGGGAATTTTACAGGAAAAAAGTCTGGATTTTTATTTGAATTTTATTTCCAAAAAATTTAGATGTCAGTTCTTTGTATGACTAAACAGATTGTGATATCGTTTTCTTTTGTTTTTATTACTCAAAAAACACGTGTCTGGGCTCACTGTCTAGGCAGGTCCCTTAAGCCGAAAACTCATGATGTTTTCATTGATTCATAATGATAATAACCGTAGACGATGTCGTTATTTATTGTGTTTTAGATCCTAGCTGTTCAGAAAACAAAGAAAACTTTAGGTCGATGCAATCGGAGCAATTTCCATTCCGAATTTTCCGAAAAGTCGACGACGTAGAGCTGGAAGTCATATGGTGATAGCCAATATTTGTCATATGATGATAGCACCTATTTAGTCATATGGTGATAGCACCTATTTGAATCTTCTCATCCTGAGTTGCACACATGAATATTGAAGTTGAATCATTACTAGTGGCGATAAATGGGTAATGTATGATTACTATAAACAACAATCCAAGTGGGTTGACAAAGGCACTCAACCACCAGACGAAACGTGAAGATAACGTTAAAAATGGGATGTTTTCGGCATGGATGTCTACCAAGGAGTGGAGTATTGGGAGCTGCCAGATATTGGTGTCACTTTTATGACCGATACCTATTTTTGTCAGGTGACATAACTTAGACTCCATGTGGATCTCCATTGGAGAGAAACACAAAGGTTTATTTTCAAAATCGAAATTCGCAATCTCATGCGGGAAGGAGAACGGAGACCGATCTCACTGGATACGGCTAAACGGTTCTGTCTTATCTACAGTATAATCCAACCCTTGTACTGTCTGACTACCTCCTATCCAGCCATTTCTACCGACATCATGATTGAAAAAAATTCACTTCACTTCGCATGATGTCAAAAATGGGTTGACCTGATTTTCAATGCGCTGTGACCGGAGTTCTGGAAGGAAGGCATCCACAATTTGGTGGGACGTTGGCAGATAGTCACTGTTAACAATGGTCATTATCTTCAATTTATCTGACATCGTTTTGACCTTTTTTTATATCGAATGAATATGACGCTAAAAATGGAAAGGACTTTCCGAACAACCTGATACAACAAATACTTATAATCTCCAAATTGGAAGGATTTCTCGGTATGAATGAGGTACACAAATATTTTGTTTGCCAGGTAGGAAAGAATGAAGAAAATTTTGGGTATTAGAAAATGAGCCAAGTTGATGAACATTTTTGGGGGATCCGGAGAAGTGGACATTTTGAGAAAGTTATGGTAAAGAGAAAGAGAAGAAATTTGATTTACTATTAGAACTGAACATAGTAAAGTTAAAACAGATTTTACCTTAATGATAATAGTGACTTACGATTCTATTCTTGTGTTCTTCTAAAAACTTGAAACGAGTACATATCCGTATTTTCTCAGAACCTCCCTCGGTTTCTTGAGGTTTTCCGTGTTTTCAGCTACATCTACGCGGTTACAACGTCCCATTTGTGAACATGTCTAAACATCAATCGGTGTGCATCATTGACCGAATAGGGACCAGAATTCAATTTTGGAAAGTTCTAAAACATTTTCTTGAATTTTGAATGAAATTGCTATGGAATAGAGAATAGAGAAAAATTAACAATAGTTTTTTGACACAAAAATCAAACTCTCGGAACACTGTGAACATTTATAGAAGACGTTGAAGGTATAACAACTCCAAATCTAGCGAACAGTCGACGGCGTAGCGCTGGAAGGCATAATGTGATAGCTAGAGGATCCAGGAAAGGGAAAAATGAAACAGCGATTGAAGACACCCAGTTGACCCAGCTGAAAAAGATTTATAGCACTTTTTGAAGATTTAAAAAATCAAAAATTTAACGTTAGTTTAACCAGAACACCTTTACCTCATGAAATCAATCCTAATAGCTGATCCATATAAAACCAATGTACAAGGCATAAAGCTGACACAAATTGGAATTACAGTTTGTACAAAAAGTGCCCAAAATAGGCGTTTTTGCATTTGCATTGTTTTAGGACTCATGTAACTTATTCCTTGTTTCAAATGGGACATTATCTGAAAAATTAAGGGATTTTACAAGTTTTGAATTCTTGAACGCCGTCGCGCTGCTATTAGCCCGCTACTGGCTCGCCATTGGTCATCCGTTTGCCTCTTGTTGACCTGCCATTAGCCCATCAGAGCAATTTACAGCTAAAAATCACGCACCTTGTACCCTAGGAAAAAATACAAAATCAAGGAATACGATGCTAGGAAAGTTACAAATAGAGTGCCAACCCATGATCGGTACACGACTTCAGAAGGCATTTCCTAAAAATAGTTCAAATGCGCTCTATGGAACTCGTTTCAACTCACCGAAAAAATCACAGTCTTGATGTTCAAATGATCCATTTTACCATAAACTTTTTCGAAAGACTCTCTCACATAATTTCTTGATTCCGAATCTGCTGACATTGTGTAATCTGCAACAACGGCCCATAGGATCCAATGTAACAGAACCAATTGGACAGATAAAATAAGGCCGTATGGATTGAAGTAATTGGCAACGAAATCAGTGTATCGGAGGGATAAGAATCGGTATAAGAAGTGGGTGTTGAGAATACCATAGGTGCCAGAGATGAATGCACAACGACCAGCAAGAAGGAATTCGCCGAGACGCGATCTCTAGAATATCAGAAAACCTGAATCCAAGAATCCGAGAATCCAGGGATCCAACAATCGAAAAATCCAAGAATCCAAGAATCCGAGAATTCAAGAATTCAATAATTCAGGAATTCTTATAAAATGTAAATATGCAAAATTTTTATAAAATGCTATACAATTTACATACGCCCTTTACTCGAATATGGAACTATAGTCACTTCTCCAATCCTAAAGGATCATATTATAAAATTGGAATCGGTGCAAAAGTCATTTGTTTTCAGAATTTTCAAAAAATTCAGGATGGCATACACTTCATACTTTGAAGCACTGGAAGAATGTCAGCTAACTAGGGAATGACTCACAGAAGATGTGGAGTTATGGGACGAGACCTATATCATTCGAAAGAGGATGAAATTTCATTTTCAAATATATGCTCAGTTTTTGCGGCGGCCTCCGCTAACTCGAGAAATTCGGGTCAGAAGTTTTCAGTAGATTTTGCACTGAAATGCATACGTGAACGCTTCCACGTCCTCATTTCTTTTATACGCTTAGAAGAACCATTGAAAACAGCAGTGGGATGGTTCAGTGGTAAAGCGGCGGGATGGGGAAATGGTACTCTATGGTTCGACTCCTTCATAGTCGAAACTCTTTTTTTATTTTTTGTTGGTTTTTTATATGACCTGTTTTTGAGCTCAAAAGCTGTTTTCAGCAGTTTTCCATACTCTAAACACCTTTGGCATCTTGTCAAATACAAATTAACCAAGTTTTTGGAAAAAAAATTTCTGAAGAAAATTCGCATGTTTTCATGATCCATACACCTCTTTTCAAATTTTCAAAAAAAAATTTTTTTGAAACACAAAGAAAAGTTCCACGATTATGTCTCGCTTTTATAGACGGGCGGCGAACGGGCGGCAAGCGGGCGGCTCACCGCCCGCCCGGATGGAAACCCTACTGGAATAATCCCGCCAAGGATAAAAAAATCGGAAAATAGTAAGTTCCTTGGAGTATCGCAGGCTCTATAATGATTTGGTCTACACGTATAAAATTATTGTTTCCAAAGAAATTATCATGGAGGTTCCAATTTTCGAAATATTTAATCATGCTGGATCATTGCGACGTCACAAATACTATCTCAAATCACTTATCAAAAACAAAAATATCTTCTCAATTTCTCTCTAATAGAGTAATCAGATGTTGGAACTCTTTACCCGCCAAAGTGTTTCCGGTGAAGCCCTCGTCAGCGGCTTTCAAAAATCGACTATTATCCTGTGATCTAAAACATTTTCTTGTCTTGAATTCAACTAATTACTAAGTCGGGTTTTCCTTCATCTCCCAATTACTACAAATGTATGTCCCTGTTATATCTCCTAGTTTCATAGACATTTCACGTGTTAGTGGTTTTCTCCCCTTCGTTGAAATAAATAAATTCAAAAATTCAGGAGTCTAAGAATCCAAGAGTCCAAGAGTCCAAGAATCCAAAAATCTTAAAATCTATTGCTCACCTCTGAAAATGGTCCGGCAACTAGGAAGAATATTGTAGCATAGCGATACGCATGAACACACTGAAACCATTTTCAAATTAACCTATCGTAATACCTCTATTAGAAGGTCCCGAACATTTTTCCGGGAAATTTCACTTCAGAATTTCATGAATTCTAGCACAGGAATTTTGAAAAGATGGCAATTTTGCACAAAGATTTTCATATTTTTGCGGAGTGTTGAAAATAGGAAAAAAACAATAACGCCCAATTGTTGAGAATCCTATTTTTCCAAGGGGTCTTTTAATGCAGTTCTTAAACTCACAACTGGCAACAAAGTGTCGGCTAATGATGCGATCAAATTGAAAAGAGCGAAAAAATACAAAAGATATTTATAGTTTCCAAGTTGAAAGGATTTTTCGGTATGGATAAGATACACAAAAACGGGATTTGAAAGGAAAGAAAGGATGAAGAAAATTTTTGGGATTAGAAAATGAGCCCAATTCACAAGCATTCTTTTTGAGGTGATCCTTAAAGAATTTAAGAGTTCTGGTTTCCAGACTGAAATTGTTCGAGATGCATCAATTTTTATGAGTTGTGTTTTAGAAGAATCCTAAATGTCCCATAGGTATTAAAATTATGTTTTGGATCTGATCTGATCAGAATTACGTAGATGTTTTTCGGAAATCGGAAGTAGTGAAAAAAAACTATTTATCTATGAATATGGTTTTGATGAGTCTGCATTTTTTTCTGGAAAATATTTATTTCTCAATTTCAAAAAAAATCATATATCGGATTTCAGTTCTAGCTGGAAGATTCTTTGTGAAAAAAATTAAAATTAAAAAGAATAATTTTACTGTAAAACACCCAATTATCAAATTCTCGAACTGCTATAAACACGATTTGACAGATTAGGAGAAACATTTCGAATTCGACAAAATACGCGATATCGAAGAGCTGGAATGCACATTGTGACGGCCAGTGAATCAAGAAATGGGAAAAACGAAACGCCGACCGAAGACATCCTGTTGACCCAGCTGAAAATTATTAGCTTTAAAAATGCAATTTTAAATAGAATTTCTAATTCGAGTCTTTTTTGAATGGCTCTTTTTTTAACCTCCCATTTGAATTTTAATCAAACTGAAGACCTTAAAATGAGCTTTCACCTCAAAAAGTCAATCCGAATTGCCGATCCATACAAAACCGGAATGCAAGGCATGAAGCTAACACAAATTGAAATCGCTGTTTGGATTGCCAACGCCGAAAACAACCGTCGTTGCAGTTGAAGCGTACGATCACTCCTATAATCCAATCCTTGGTTCAAACTGGCCATTATCTGGAAATCCTAAGTTTTATACCTAGAAAATTGTACATAAATTGAAGAATCCTCATAGGACTTCGGTTTATTGCCATCTCAAAAAACAACAGTACCCCCCCCCCTTGACTATCAACCTGACAGTTTTACGACTTCACCTGGCTTCACGACATCACCTGGCCTGCTAATGACCAGCTATTGACCCGACCTTGAAATTTTTATTAAAAATTGGCTTACCTTGTACCCAAGTACAAAATATAAAGTGATCGAATAAGATGCTAACACAGTCACAAACAAGGTACCAAACCACGATCGATAGACCCCTCGAGATGAAACTTCCTGCAAAAAGAGAATTCGCTCAATTGCTCAAAATGGTTAGCTCACCGAAAAAATCAACGTCTTCATGTTCAAACCTTCTAAACTACCGTAAACTTTCTCGAAAGAGTCTCTCACATAATTTCTTGATTCAGTATCTGCCAACATTGTTATATCGGCTACGCAAGCCATATGGTTCAGTGTACAACTACCAATAGGACAGATAAGATGATACCGTATGGATTGAAATATTCGGTAACGAAATGGTGATTTTTTAATGACAAAAATCAATAAATAAAGTGAGAATTGAGGATTCCATAGGTTCCGGAGATAAATGCGCAACAGCCGGAGAGCAGGCATTCGCCAAAGGGGGATTTCTGGAATTTCAGAAATCATGAATCCAATAATTAAACATTTCGATAATTTTGGGAATTAGGTAGTGAGCCCAGTTGGTGAACATTTTTGAAGATGTACCGCGGATTTTCAGAATCAGATTATAGTTGCTCAATTCTGAAAACAGATATTTAAAAAAATAATCCTTGGCGCGAATAGAACAAAAATTCTGAAAACCATAAAAGTTTCAATACTTATGAGAAAGCATATTTTCTAGAAGCTGTTTCAGAGAAGTCAAGACTAAAACATCCAAAAACTTGATGACGTAATAATCCCCTAAAGCCACCGAATCTAAGTACATGTCCTCTATTTATTCTAAAGAAACAAAACGTTCATAAGGAAAGAAAACTGAAAAAAAGGTGCACGTCCACCGGCTCAGTGAGCCAGAAATTTAGCGTGGGGGATTTCTTTTTAAAATAAGCTCATAATTTTTTAGAAGTCTAGTTATCAGAAGTCTAAGAAATTTCCGGGTTTGAGAACGTCCTACGGGAGTTTGATTTTCTTATTGGACATGTGTGTCTGAGTATGAGGGTACTTGGTGCGTGAGAAAATGTTGAAACTGGTTTTTAGGAAGGTAGGACCGAAAATTTTCAGAAAAATCTTTTTAAAAATGACTTCAAACTATATACTTAATCATTTATTTATTTCTACATAAAAGCGATGCAATTCATTTCAAGCCAAATTTTAATGGAAAATACTCATAACCTGTTTGAACTACTATAAATGATTCGATTCGACAAATTAGAAGTCAAATTATAAATTTTGTTTCTCGAAAATATCCTATGTCGAAGAGCTGGCAGACACATTGTGATAGCCAGTGGATCCAGGAATGGGAAAAATGTTACAGCAATTGCGGAGCCCCAACTTATCCAACTGAAAATGTTTATTTCAGAATTTTAGCATTTTCTGGAATTTCTGAAATGTCGGAAATTCCCTAATTTTGCGAACTTCCTGGAATTTCTGAAGTTTATGAATTTGTTTTTTTTTCGGTTCCAAAATTATTCATTTCGGGAAACTTTAAATCTTTTGGCACTTCAAACATTCATCAATTTCTGAATTTTTTGAAGAAAAAAAAAGTTTCCCACCTATAAACACTAATTCCAAGCGCCGCTCCATAAGATACAAAAACAGTGGGCAAGAAGCTAACAAAAATTGGAATAACTGTTTGAATGGCCAATGCGTAAAACAATCGTCTTTGCATAAGGAGGGTCCGCGGACTCATATAGTCCAAACCACAACTCAAACTTGTCATTATCTGAAATTTTCTTAAAATTTAAATTGAAAAAATGTCAGAAGTCTTGTTATGGGCTAGCTTGGCCTGCCGATAGCCTGCTATTGAACCGCTGGCCCTCCAATGATCCCCTAATAGATTTTTTTACCTTGTATCCTAATACAAAATATAAAATAACGGAATACGAGTTTAGCAGTGTCACCCAAGAAGTTCCAAACCATGAATCAACCATCTTTTCAGTAGATACTTCCTGGAAACCGCGCTCTATTGAAAAGTTCAATCTTCGTCGCTTACCGAATAAATCGCAATCTTTATGCTCAAGTTTTCCATCGATCCATAAATTTTCTCAAATGATTCTCTCACATAATTTCTAGACTCCAAGTCGGGTAGCATCAATAGATCAGTGATTACAGCCCAGGAGAGAAAATGAAAAAGGACCCAGAGCATTGATAAAATTAGACCGTAAGGTAGGAAGTACTGGTTTACAAAATGGTGATTGTTAAGTGATAAAAACCGATAGACAAAATGGGAATTTAGTACTCCATAGGTTCCACCAATAAGTGCACAACGTCCGGCAACAAGAAATTCTCCGATTCGAGATTTCTGAAAAAATTTTATACATTTTTCTTGAGCTACGCAGTCAGTGAATATTAACCCAATGAAAAGAATTCAAACCATAGTTGCAAGCGGACCGGCTATTAACTTGTTCCTAGGACGTGATTTTCAGACAGCCTTGGTACAAAATGATAGATCTCGACAGGGCCCATGATGCCTATATCATTTAGGTTTGATTCCATTCCGGTAACGTGCCGCAACCTGGGCTTCAATGACGATTTATTTTAAAGCAGATTTTTTTGTCATTCAAACACATTTTTCGACATGTTACCAGACCGGAATCCGATTCCAATGATATAGGCGCGATGGGCCCGGTCGAGATCTACCATTTGGTATTAAAACCATCTGAATATCTCGTTTTAGAGACAAGTTATCAGCAGGCCCACCACACAGGCCCGCTTGCAACTATGATTCAAACTGTCAAAATTGATTCGAAATTTGAATTCAAAATTTTTTGACTATTTAAACTAACCTCGAAAAATGGACCATCGAGTATAAAATATACAGCAGAATACCTATAAATGTGAACGTACTGAAAAATAGAGTTTTCAATTAAAAAAAAAAGAATCTTTAAAAAACTTACACATGGAACGAGTGTGTCAAAAACAGCAGCAATTAAATTGAAAATTGCGAAAAAGAGCAAAAGATATTTATAACTTCCAAATTGAAAGGATTTTTCAGTATGGATAAGATAAATAAATACGGGATTAGCAATCAAAGTTAAAATTAGAGACATTTTGGGAATTATAAAGTGTGCCCAGTTGATAAACATCTTTTTCCGGTGTTTAAAAACCTAACTTCAAATTTTCAGATTGAAAAATTTCGAAAGAAATTTCGAAATGTAGTTGTTATGATCTTGATAGACTTAACAAATCCTGATCCTAAAGAATCAAAAATTAGAAGCACTCGTGTGAAAACTCAGAATTTCGGATTTCTTTGATTTAATAAAAAATCTTGTGATATTTTCTTACCTGTCTATCTCATTAAAATCAGTGAACCGCAATGTTTTAGTTTGAAATTCGAAGAAAATATTTAATGACAAAATTTCCGAGTTTTATGAGTCAAAAAAAAGTGATCTTTGATGCCAGAAACAATTTTCAATAATTCAAAAATATCATTTTTGAACTCGAAATTCTCAAAGCTAAAAACTATTCCATTCAACAAATTTTAATCCAAATTTTTTTAAAAGTTTTTTTTTGAAGTCCAAAAATTTTTTTTGAAGTCCAAAAATCCACAAGAAAAAAATCATAATCTGTTTGAACTACTATAAATGATTCGATTCGACAAATTCGGAGTCAAATTAGCAATTTTATGCTTATAAAATATCCGATGCCTCAGAGCTGGAAGGCACATTGTGATAGCCAGTGGATCCAGAAATGGGAAAAATGTTATAGCAATTGCGGACACCCAATTTATCCAACTGAAAATATTTTTTTAAGTTACCAATCTTTAATTTTCCAAATTACAAACCCAAAAACGTCAAAACCAAATGCGGCTCCATACAGTACAAAAACAGTTGGCATAAAACTGACAACAATTGGAATAACTGTTTGAATGGCCAACGCCCAAAACAATCTTCTCTGCATTTGAAGGGTCCGTGCACTCATATAGTCCAATCCGTGGCTTAAACTGGTCATTATCTGGAAACCTTTGGTTTTCTTAACATGTCATAGGCTCATCAAATGCTCGCTGGGCCGTCAGTGAGCCATTATGATATTGTTATGATAGCTGTTAGTCCGTTATGACCGTAATTATTGTTTTTCGTATTTCTTGCTCATGAATTTACTCAAGAACGCTGTCTCACCTTGTAACCCAGCACAAAATATAAAATAATAGAATAAGATGATAAAATTGTCACCCAAAGGGTTCCCAACCATGAGCGAAGCATTACTTCGGAAGAGACCTCCTGGAAAGCGCGCTCTATTGAGATTAATCTACCTCACTTACCGAATAGGTTGCAATCTTCATACTGAGATTTTCCATATTCCCATAAACCTTTTCAAATGATTCTCTCGCATAGTTCCGGGATTCCAAGTCGGGTAGCATTGTATGATCGGCTATTACAGACCAGGATAAATAGTGGAAAAGGACCCAGACTGCTGATAAAATCAAACCGTAAGGATTAAAGTACTCGGTTACGAAGTGATGATTTTTCAGGGACAAAAATCGATAAACAAAATGAGAATTTAGGACTCCATAGGTGGAACCAATAACAGCGCAACGGCCAGCAACAAGGTATTCTCCGATTCGGGATTTCTAAAAAAAACCCAATCAAAAAGTCTGGAGCTACGCGGTTAGGTCTCTTGACTTTTTCGACTTAGAATTTAAAAAATGAAAATGTTCCTAATTGATTCAAGATCATTTTCAATCATTTGAACCCAATGTTTTGTATAAACTAACCTCAAAAAACGGACCCTCCACTATAAAAAATACAGCAGAATATCTATAAGTGAAGACGTACTGAAATATTTTTACTCTCTCAATTTTCAGAAAAATTACACAAAAACTCACAATCGGTACTAAAATATCAAAAATGGCAGCGATCAAGTTGAAAATTGCGAAAAATAATAAAAGGTGTTTATAGCTTCCAAATTGAAAAGATTTCTCGGTATGGATAAGATACACAAATACGGGGTTTGTGATAAAAGTTAAAATTAGAGAAATTTTAGGAATTATAAAATGCGCCCAGTTGATAATCATTTTTTTCGTTCTGCAAAAAATCTTCAAAAGTTTAGAAGGTGGAATTCTTTAAAATTAGATTATTGGAAAAAAGCGGACAAAAATGTGTTGAGTTCTGCTTTTTATATTAGGTTGGCGGGAAAGTCTTTGTCACTCTGTTTGTTTAATCACTGTTCTCGTATATGGAGGCTGTGTATGATATCGACTCTAGTGAATAACAAGGTGATAAGAACCTTCCATATAAACAAGTCCCCATCTCCTTCCCTGCTCCTCATCTGTAATTGAAACGATATGTTTGTTCCCACTGCTATTCACATCAGACATGTTTTGATTTACCTCTTCCTATCTCACACCACGATGAAGGATTCGGAAACTTTCTTGAAGAATGTGTACAACACACATGCCCCTCACTACAATACTATTCGCAATTGGTTCCATCGTTTCGAAAAAGATGACTTCTCGCTCGATGAAAAGGATCGCTCTGGGTGACCCCGTGAGTTGGATTTGGACAAGCTGAAGCACGCATTGCAATCGGATCCATTTCAATCTAGCCGTGAACTAGCTGTCACATTCGGAGTTCACCATAGCACAGTCCTTGAAGGTTTGAAGTCTCTTGGAATGAGAAAACTTTTTGGTCGATTCATACCTCATCACCTGACTCAAGCCAACCTTGACCGCCGAGTCGACGATTCGATTACTCTTCTCACTCTCCACGCGGGCGATCGATGGCTGGACCGGCTAATAACCGGAGATGAGAAGTGGGTCTTCTACGATAATCACCACAGGAAATCCCAGTGGGTTGGAGAAGGAGAGAGCCCACAGGATGTCCCCAAACCCGACCTTCATCCGAAAAAAGTTATGCTCTCTGTGTGGTGGGGAGTGGACGGCCCCATCTACTGGGAACTTCTGCCCGAGGGCAAAACAATAACTGGAGACCTCTACACTACTCAACTACGAAACCTCAAGAAAGCAGTCGACCGTTCGGCCCTGAAAGACAAGAAAGTGTACTATCAACATGATAACGCTCGCCCACATGTTTCGAAACAAGTGAAGCAGGAGCTGATGGGATATGGATGGAATGTTCTCCCTCACCCCCCGTATTCTCCTGATCTTGCTCCTTCCGACTATTGGTTATTTGGCGATAGACACGTGCCTTCGAAGGAAGAAGCTTCAATTCCCGTGGAGCGGTCGAAGCGGCACTCAAACAATACTTTGCCTCACGCCCGGCTGGATTCTACCGCAATGGAATCCATAAATTGAGGGAACGTTGGAGACATGTTGTTGATAATGATGGACAATATAATTAATTATTCGGTTATTTTTTCTTTGAGAAATAAACTATTGAAAAAGTGACAAAGACTTTCCCGCCAACCTAATAGTTCCGAAGGAATTGATTTATTCTTGAAAAATTGATTACTTTATTTGAAAAAAAAACGAGGTTTATTACTTCTTTGAAACAAGAACATTTTTTATTAATGCAAAATTTTTTCAGCCAAAAAAATCAAAAACTAATCTTCATGGTTTTATTAATCTTTTTTCTTATAATACCTAAAAAAGCGTTAACAGATTTAGATGGATAAGATTTTGTAATTTTCAAAACCCTTATCTTAAGTTCATGAGATTAAAAAAAACTGACTCTGATGTAACAAAAGAATTGAAACAATGATACCCTTAGTTTCTCAAATTTCTTGATGCGTAAAATTTTTTCTCAAATCATAATGACGTTATTTATGAGTCAGGGTCTTTTTTTTTAAAATGCCAAACACTAGATTTCTCATTGGTGAAACATGTGTCTCAACGCATTTTTGATCGGATGCATGGGAAAATAAAAAATTTGAAAGTTTCCAAGAACTTTGCACGTATTTTCGAGAATATTTTTTCTTTCGAATAAGATTTTTCTATCATGTTATTACATTGTTAACATTCTTTTTTGTTGGCCAGACAGCGGAAATTAGAACTGTCTGGTTTGATACTAAAAGATGTAAATGTGACTAACGTTCTAGACCATTAAAATTCGTTTCTCAAAAAATAAATATGTTTTCTGGTCAAATGTTCACAGTTCATTGCTTCCTGTAACTGAAGGACCCAGGACCCAGGACCCAGGACCCAGGACCCAGGACCCAGGACCCAGGACCCAGGACCCAGGACCCAGGACCCAGGACCCAGGACCCAGGACCCAGGACCCAGGACCCAGGACCCAGGACCCAGGACCCAGGACCCAGGACCCAGGACCCAGGACCCAGGACCCAGGACCCAGGACCCAGGACCCAGGACCCAGGACCCAGGACCCAGGACCCAGGACCCAGGACCCAGGATCCCTGGCTCCCTTCTCTGGATCTTCTCTTTGGAGCCCAGAGAAAGGGTGAACTGATCTCTTCCTTTATAATACTCTCGCGGAGGTCAATGGGCCATCTAGGGGTTTCTGAATTAATTCACGTAGTCGTTTTGGTTTAGAATTTTAAAATTCTATCAGAGTTTTTTCTTGCCTCGTGGATTTCTTTTATAATTTTTTTTTTATCACGTTCAAATAAAACTGATTTTCATCTTCGAAATTTGTGAAACTCCTCAAAAAGATCGCACCTTTGAACCTATTTTTCTTGGTTCCTGTTGAGATTTTAAGAAATGGTTAACTGATGAAATGTTTCTGATATTAATACAAGCATTTTTGTCTTTGAAATTTTTGAATATCTTTCACAGGAACCAATATACCGTATTTCATCTAACAGAAGCCCATCTCTAATAGAAGCCCACCCTGGATGTGTTGTTTTCTTCTCTGTTAATGCACACATATTTGTTTTGTTTTTTATTGTGATAATTTACCTTAATTCGAGTCGTTTTTCAAACACTCCTGTCACGTTAAGAGCCGAAAACCTTCTAATGGAAGCCCTTTTCCTGATAGTATCAACCATAAAAAGGAGGTTGAAAAATAGAAGCCATGACCTATGGGCTTCTATTAGAGGAAATAGGTATATTTGGTCAAAGCCACAAAATTATGGATTTCATTCTCGTCTGTCAGCGACTTGAAATTGACATTTTGGATCCTAAAGATTGAGGTCTCCGAAAATTATTGTTGCTGAACGAAATTTGACGGAGGTTTATTGCTATGATTATTGATTCCCAATCGTCCAGGACCACTTTTTTCTTTATCCCCAAAAGTTTGTCGCGACACATTCCTTTTTTTCACAAAAAGTTTAGTACACGATGTGACACCACCTGGCGCACATTTTGTCAACTGTATCAGTCTCCAAAAAATTTCATTATTGACAACGTTTCATGTTTTATATCTAATTTCCTATGAACAAACAAAGTGCGTCAGACTTTTTGATCTGAATTTAAAATCATGAATATAAAACTGCATCCAATTTATGCAACGATTTCGGAACATGTAATTGAGGTCATAATGAAAATAATTGAATAGTGTAACAATTAATATCTGTGATGTCTGAATTATAACTCCGAGTTTACAAAATGGTCAAAAACTATCCAGAAACACTTCCAACACTGCTAACTCTCTCAGATTTTTCAACTTTCGGAGCCATCGAAGTGGGAGCCATCGAAGTGGGAGCCATAGAAGCCCACATATTTTTCGGATCATATTCCTTATTTCCTTTGAATAGATTTTTTACGAATTCTCGATAAGGTTTTATGATAAAAAGTGTGCAAACGGTGCTTGTCATTCCGTGACTAGCCATGAAAACCATTGAAATATTGTTGAAAGCTGAAAAAAGTGGACATCCGGATATCAGGAGGCACAGACACACCTTGATTGTAATATTGATTCGAGTCGGCGTAAAGGGAGTAGAGGATGGGACACACTAAGGAGGTCCAGGGTATGGTGACCTGAAAATTTTAAAGATTAAAATTATTCAAAAAAAATCGTTTCCAGCAAAAAAAGCCCCTATCAAAAAAGAAAATAGGCGACTTTGGGGTCCTGAAAATCTAGTGAAAATTGACTGAAACGCTGTCAATTACAGAAATGAAGCATGCATTTTTTTTAGTATGCTCTGAAATTTTCAGAAAAATTACAACATTTTGCCTAATTTTTGATAAGTCCAAAATTGATTATATTCCACTGAAAAGTCAAAACTTCATACACTCTATTTTAGTACTACTTTTTGAAATTTCGGAAAATTCCAGAAAAAAACTTACCTGCATCGCTACATAACCCAAAAACTTGCGTTGTAATGCTCTGGTAGACTCTGAGATATTTGCCTGTTTCACATAATTCAAATAGTAAATTGTATGAATTAAAAAGAATAACGATTGAATTATCACAATTAATAAACCAGTGGTGATTGCCAAAAACGGTAACATTTCTCCTCCTTTCAAAAGAACATATGTATTTTTGTCATAAAAATCAATAGTAGGACAGGGAATTCTCTGAAAATAAATGTCAAAAATGTGTAAAAATAATGTAAAAATTTAAATCCGAACCTTCAAAACAAATTTTCGAAGTTCCATCTGATCTGCATCTTCCATATAAAATGCAAGCATTAGGAAACATGCCAAAAAATAATTGACTCCAAAATAGACAAGTCTCGTTTTGAGCCGAGTGATTTTGAATTTGATCCATGAAATTTGGCTGTGTCGATTCTCCAAAAGCATCACGAAATTCACACCGATCACTGAAAAATCACGGCATTATATTAAAATTTAAGAATATAAACTGACTAATTATAGAAACCTGAGCAACATACGCGCACCATTTCACCGGGATTCCTAAAGCCGCAAAAAGTCCTCGGGGCGTTCCAGAAGCAGTTGGATAGTACATCACAGGTGTCAGATTTACAGTAAGCAACAAATCCAAATTTGTGCCCCAAGCATGAGCAATCAAAAGTGGTATTTTCATATTTTTCATTTTTCTCGGTGTCACTCGAATAATAGTCATAAATGTAAATATAGATAATGGAATTGTGAGAAGGGCTGTGCAGTGATAAGCGGTTATCATAAAATCTGATGAATCGAAACAGGTGTGATTTTGACGGCATGAAGATTCCACGTAATCAGGCCAGTAGATATCCATTTTTCTATGAAAGCTTCTCTACAAAACCAGAAGCAAGGATAGTGGTTACTGAAATCCGTCAGAAAAATCTGAAAAAAATGAGCAGAAAAATTCCGAGAATTGTGTATATATAATTTGATATAGTCACTACGAGACGCTATGCAGATTTTTGATACTTCTAGTAAACGAAAGAACAATTTTAGAATTCTCGCAAGAAGAAATTGCAGGTATCGAAAAATCAAATAGCCTAAACTTCAAGAAGCGGAAATTGTAACTAATACAGGGTGGGGAATAAATATAGGCATTAACAATTTCTGAGCCTTCCTCCGTTCGCTCCGATAACAGATCGAAGTCTCTTCAAGAAGGAGTCGACTACGGCACGGAGGTAGTTGACGTCCAAATTGTCCCATGCCGCGGTCAAGGATCTATTCAGGGCCTCCAAATTAGGATAATTTTTTGTGGAGACTCATTGGGTCCAATATTCCCAAAACAAAAAATTCGTTGGATTGAGTACCGGACTGGACGCTGACCATCGATCCTTAGTGAGAAAATCCGGAAAATTGGCTTGGAACCACTGACAAGTGAGCTTTGCAGTGGTGCAGGCACTCCGTACTGATAGAATGGTCAATTGTCGTTCACAAGACGTGATTGGGACTGGGGCAGCACCTCCGACTTCAACATTCGTTCGATGTAGGATTTTTGTTGATCTTGGCTCCACAATCGACAAAACCATTTGAGCATATCTCATCAAATACGGTCACCGTGACCGGGTGAGATGTCTTATTCTGGGTTTTTCATCTCCTACATGAACTATAATAATCGATAGCCCCGATTCAATTGTTCTGGTCAGTCTTGTTTGCCTGAACAATGAACAACTTCATCTATAAAAAACGGGTTTTAAGTGCGTGCCGAAGCGCGTGCCTCGAAGGATATTTTTGGATTTTTTCAGTTTTAACCCTTTGTTACGGTCCGTTTGGAAAGCGCCTTTTTGGGTTCGATATGGAATCATATGGAGCTGTTTTCGGAAAATATTTCTCATTGATTTGCGGAGCATTCTACGACGTCATTTTTTCATGATTCTTTCGTGATTCCTACTGATTTTCTCTCTCACGGCTTTGACGACTCCAGAAGCCGTTCCAAACATCAGATGACCGCTTTTTCTTATATTATTGAAAGTTCCCAATTCTCTGAACCGACGAGTTTCTGATTGACCACTGACTTCCTGATAAAAAGTTTATTAGCGATCTCCAAAGTTCTCACCCCTTTTTCGCGCGCTCCATTCTAGGAGTGTGGTATGGAAAAACGGTCACCATTACCTTCAAAGTTGGAATAATTGCATGAATTTTTCAGAAATAGTTTGAAACAAAAAAATGAAGGGAAAAAATAATAGGGTGTGCAAATCAGACCGTGTTGCTGGCGCCAGAGCTTGCGCAAATTTTGGGCGCTATAATTATTCCCCACCCTGTAACTATGGAAAGTGCTAAGTTATGAAAAAAAAATCAAAGCCACAATTAATAAAAAAGTATCTTGGTTTTTCTGAAAAATGATAATGCCATTTAGAATGAAAATCTAGGTTTAAATTTTTTTTGCTTAAAAAATTTTTGGTTTCAAAAACTCGATTGCCAAAAAACCGAAAAAATTATTAACTAGAAATTCTGGAAATTTGATGCTAAAAGAATATTTAGTCGATCAGCAGACTTATCGAAAAGAAGTTGTAGTTTACAGATGAATGGATAATTTTTAAATTTGATTTCTTGAGCAAACTACGGAAACTTCAGAAAAAGTGGATACTTCTGAAAAGTTAAAACTGAGAAATTAAAAAAAAATATATTTTTGTCTATTATTGTCTTTAGAGAAAATTAATACTAGAAATTCCAAATATTAGGAAAATAACAATTTTTCTAATTTTTAAAATTGTTAAATTCACAAAATTCTATTTTTATAAGTAATTTTGTGTTTTTGGATTTCAGAATTGTTAAATTCGATTTTTTTTTACCACAATTTTCTCTTTGAAGAACTTCTGAACTTCTGAATTACTGGATTTTCGTGAGTTTTCAAATTTCTGGATTTCTGGATTTCTGGATTTCTGGATTTCTGAACTTCTGAATTACTGGATTTTCGTGAGTTTTCAAATTTCTGGATTTCTGGATTTCTGAATTTCTGAATTTCTGAATTTCTGAATTTGTGAATTTGTGAATTTCTGAATTTCTGAATTTCTGATTTTCTGAATTTCTGAATTTCTGAATTTCTGAATTTCTGAATTTCTGAATTTCTGAATTTCTGAATTTCTGAATTTCTGAATTTCTGAATTTCTCAATTTCTCAATTTCTCAATTTCTGGATTTCTGGATTTCTGAATTTCTGAATTTCTGAATTTCTGAATTTCTGAATTTCTGAATTTCTGAATTTCTGAATTTCTGAATTTCTGAATTTCTGAATTTCTGAATTTCTGAATTTCTGAATTTCTGAATTTCTGAATTTCTGAATTTCTGAATTTCTGAATTTCTGAATTTCTGAATTTCTGAATTTCTGAATTTTTCAAAATTTCTACAAATTCCAATTTTCTGATTTTCTATTCCTTTTTTTCCGAAACTTCCATCTTTCGAAATTCTAGTCCATGTTATTTTTATCGGTTTCTGGACATGAACCAGAATTATGGACATGAACCAGAATTATGTCGTTTGGTAGAAATCCAATTTTCTTGCATACATAATCTCGGCTCAGAAGAGCCCGATTATTTGGGATAAGCTTGAGCGCCATGTGGCGGTGGGCTGATTTTTAAAAATAAAATAGTTGTCTTGTCCCAAATGTATGCAAATGTTCGTCGAAAAAATCAAATCTATAGGAGAGTTTATATGAAATCTTGTGCAGAAATTGAAATAATTCAGCCCAAAGTGACAAAGGGCAAATCATTTTTAATCAAAAATAGGCGAGTGGCGTTTTGCTTCAGAGTGTTGTAGAGTTTTATCCAGGAAATTTGGCTGTTTCGATTTTCCAAAAGCATCATGAAACTTACACCAGCCACTGAAAAAAAAAAATAAAATGATTTAAAAATAACATCTAAATAACGATTAAAAAAAAAAACAAACAATGAACTCACTGATTATATAAACTTGAGAAAGATATGCGCCTCATTTCACTGTGACCCTAAACCTCCGAAAAGTCCTCAGGGTGTTCCAGAAGCAGTCGGATAGTACATCATATGCGTCCGTTTTACAGATGGCAACAAATCCGAATTTGTACCCCAAGCATGGGCAATCAAATGTGGAAATTGCACATCTTTCATTTTTGTCTCGGTTTCACTCGAACGATAGTCGTAAATGTGCGATCTGAGAGAGCTGTGGGGCAGCGATGAGCGGAAGAGATTTACGGAAATTTACGGAAGACGGTTTATCTTCGAAATGAAAAATGCTACCAAAAAGTTGTCAGCGGACACAATGTAGATCTCAAGAAGAGCTATCGATTGGTATAAAAATTGTTTTGAAATTTTGTTGAATTATTTAAATAGAGTCTTTCTTCCGTCTTCCGTGTGCCAGACGGAAGACGGAACACGAAAGAAACGCCATATCTCAACTCCCCATCAATATTATAATGTAACTTTTATACTAATAAATAAACTCTCATTGAGATCTACATTTTCTCTGTTGACAACTTTTTGGTAGCATTTTTCATTTTGAAAATAAACAGTATTCCATAAATTTCCGTAAATCTCTTCCGCTCATCTCTGCTGTGGAGTGAGAAGCGGTTATCATAAAATCTGATGAATCCAAGTAGGTGTGACTTGACGGTAAGAAGTTTTCAAGTAATCTCGCCTTGTGATACCTATTTTTCTATAGCAATTTAAAACCCAAACGAAGAAAGTGGTCGGCTTGCTGAAACCCGTTAGAAAAACCTGAAGAAAAAGTTTTCAAGAATTACATATACCGTAAAACCTCTAATAGAACGACACCCGGATCGTCCACTTTCAGCCTATATATTTCACTTCTTTTGAAAGATATCAAAAAGTGGTTAACTAGTAAAATGTTTATCAGGATATCAGCAACTAT